GAACATCTTAAACTTGACATACCTGCTGAGCAGATTTTCAACAAGAATCAATGAGATAACGTATTTTAAAACACCAAATACATAATCAGCACTCAAAAAATAGTTATTTTCTTTCCAAATTTACTAAATCTCCTAAAGCCAGGTGTCCTAATTTTAAAAGAGGGGATAATAATTTCTATCTTACAGATTCACCGTGGGCCTTAATTGGCTTAATGTATGTGAATAAAGGTTATTCATAACTACCGTGTCTGTAGCTCTCACCAGGTGCCAAGTGCTATTTTAAGTGCACTACATTTATTAATGAATTGAGTCCTCCTCACAACTCTGTAAGGAAGGTGCTCTTATCTCCATTTTACAGATGAGGAAATGCAGGCACAGAGCAGAGGTTACACAGCTTGACCAAGTCTATGCAGGGAGAAAGAAAGGCTGAAGAAAAGTGTATTAGTAAATGCTGAAATGTGTATTACAGACAATGATAAATTCCGAAACAGAAGAGACAGGTTATGTTGAATATTTAACAATTATTGACTGACTATCTCATCTGTGCCAGGCAGTGTTCTAGGAATGGGAGATAGGGCAATGAACAAAAGAGACCAAAAGACCTGCCCTCGTGGGCTCAGTCAAGGAAAAGCAATTCGGAGAAAAAACTACTTGGGCTTGGCCCAGAAAATGTGTAGGATGTGGATGTGGAAGGGAGAAAGCAGAGGTCAGTTGGCAAACCACAGTGGCCCCTTCAGCACAGCCTGTGGCCTGCTGCTGTCCCAGCTAAAAATGTTTCCTGCATGTTTAAAAGGAGGAAGAGGAGGAGGAGGAGAGGGAAGAGAAGAAGGAAGAGGAGGAGAAAGAGCAAAAGGAGAAGAAGGAAGAGGAAGAGCAGGAGGAGAGGGAGGAGGAGGAGGAGAGAGGAAGAAGAGGAAGAGGAGGGAGGAAGACGAGGAGGAGGAAGAGGATTGTAAGTACTATGACCTGAACAACCTTGAAGGAGGAGGAGATGTACACCACAAGCAAACAAGCCAGGTGGTGAAAAGTGCATTTGCTGCCTGTTCAAGAAGCCACCTGGAGAGCCAGCCCTGATGGCCTAAGGGTTAAAGTTAGGCGCTCTCACCACTTTGGCGGCCCTGGTTCAGTTCCCCATCATGGAACCACACCACCTGTCTGTCAGCTGTCATCCTGTGGTGGTGGCTCACACTGAAGAACCAGAAGGACTTACAACTAGGATATACAACCATGCACTGGGGCTTTGGGGAGGAAAAGAAAAAGCCACATGGAGCCTGGGATGGCTGGAGAGCAGATGCTCACTGTGGGGAGTGGTGGAAGGACAAGGACAAAGAGAGGTGGGAGGGAGAGGCAAAGGCTGCGGCAGTTGACAGATGTTTTTTCTCTCTGTGGGTGGCGTGATGGCACTGAAGGAGTGTGAATCCATAGGAAATTCACCGTTCTGGATAGTTGGTTCTCATACTTGAAAAGTACATGTTTAATCTTAGAAGAGCTTAAAGAACAGTGTTTTGATGCACACAACAAGAGCAGATCTCTAGAGAATTCTTTCAAAAGTAACTTTTAAAGAAAACCTCAGCCTTTTATAAAAGCTCTGCCAAACCAAGAAACTTTCTAGCAGGAGATGAACCACAACAAAACACCTACTGAGATCTCTCTCCGAGGGCACTTTCAGCTCCTCTTTGCTGGCAGGGAAATCTCACTTGTATGCAACCCAAGGTCCTGGTCTAACTTTTTGTTGCTGTTACCTTCAGTTTTTTTTCCTTAGGGGAGAGAATGGAATTTTATCTGTACGTTTGCAGTTATTTCCTGAAATGTAGCTGCAACATGTGACAAGAACTAAATAGGGGAATCTGGCTGAACCCCCAGTGAGGAGGACTCTATGCCCCAGAGGCATGAACCACTGGTTTGCTTAAGGGCTTTACTGACCAGACAGCAAGAACAAAGGCAGCGTGGGAAGCTGAGCCAACCGAAAGTTAAGTAACAAGGAGACAAACTTGTACAGTCAAGTAAGAAAACCTTTGAGAATGGAAAACGATGTCTAAAGAGCTTGCTTCAGAAAGAGGACAGCACCCTAGTAGAAAAGGAGATTAAACAGTTTATCTTTCAAGGAAGGAGGAACTGAACTGGTTCTAAAAAACGAAGCTGCCTGGCACTGAGATCATGAAATTGAAGCAACTGAGTTAGCGTGGCTAGAAGGACGACTACACGAGATGAAACACAGGGATCAGGAAAATCCTCTGCATTCTGGTATTAAGTAAGGACACAGCGTTCATAAAGGGATGATTGTCAACTACATCGGTGGCTATTAATTGGTACTAAGTAAAGCAATTCCGTGACACCCATTTTTCACAGGTCCTATAGAGCTTAGTACAAGCCACTGAACTATAATAACTCTAGAATTGTTTTACAAAACCTTAGAAACAGAGATTGTTAAGGCGTTTTTGCTTGGCATGATTTTATTTATTTCTCACTGAAACAATATCTTTTTAAGCAATTACCCATTTTAAAACACCATCATAGGAAACACTTCCGTATTCATTTCCTGTTGCTATTGTAACACATGGCCAAAACTTGGTGGCCTTAAACAACACAAATGCATTCTCTGACACTTCTGGATGTCAGAAGTCTGACACGGTCTCGTTGGGCTAAGATCAAGGTGTCCGCAGGACTGCACTACTTCCGCAGGCTCTAGGGGAAAAGCTATTTCTTCGTCTTTTCCAGCTTCTCGAGGCCGCCCACATTCCTTGGCTCACGACCCTCTTCCACTGTCAAAACCAGCAGCGTCTTTCTCGTGCTGCATCACTCTGCCACTGCCTCTGCTTCTGTCCCTTTCCCACTTTTAAGGATCTTGTGATTACACTGGGTCCACCCAGATAATCCAAGATAATCTCCCTATTTTACACTTGGCTCATCAGCAAGTAACGTTAATTCTACCTGCGACTTTCACTCCCCCGGCCATGTAATGTAACATATTCACAGGTTCCAGGGATGTCTTTTGGGAGCCATTATTCTGCCTACCACAATTTTAACCAAAGTTTATGCTGTGAGAGATGGACAGTCACTCTGTCAACAATGCTGAAATCTTAGGTTTGTTCAGCACATTTTAGGCATTACACATGCTTCTATATGCCTGACAGGTAAACTTTGTACATAAAGCATGACCAAATAAATTGGGGTGCCTTTGTGTAGGATTCTTGGCTGGGGGGCCTAGGGAGCTTTACCGTACTTGGCAGACTCTCACAGCTTAAAAAGAAATAGACAAACTACTGAAATGAGTATACTGTCTCTTTCGGGGAAGACTAACAATCTCCTAAAATTATTACTTTTTGTCAAAAGAATAAATGTTGACGCTGCAGACACTAGAAAAAGTTGAGCATTTAATGTTTTCTAAAACATTTGGTCAGAAGTTTTAAAAACTTTAAATTTTAGTTCAAGAGAATGCAAATACTGTTAACGAGGAAAAGGCAGTTTTACCTCAAACTTTTACTCAAAAAAAGCAGCAAATAAATCTGCACAGTGGTTTTAGACCACAGCAGTATTTTAAGTAGAAAAAAAGCTTTTATTTTTTCATTTCATTTTATTTTTTTCTTAGAGATGTGTTCCAAACAAGCTATGAGTCTCTTGGCAAAACAGCCCCATCAAGAGTCTTGCCAGCCTCTCCCTTGGGGGATGCAGAGACTCAGGCAAGGGAAAGGAAAACGAGGCTAGACACCTGTCCCCAGTGGAAAAAGGGAGGAGACACCTGCAGAGCAGCTCAGACAAAAGGAGCCAAGGGGAGAAAAGGAGTAACCGGAGAGGAGACTGCTTCCACTCTGTTGCTGGTTTATAAAGTAAATCTACTCCTGGAGGAAAGGGATACAGTCGCAGCAATAATAACTGGGCCGAGGCCGGGCTGCCACACTGTATCTCCTTCCAGGCTCCGCTCTGACGGCACCCCTTCCAGGAAGTTTTCCCAGCATGGCCTGAGCTCAGCTTGGATCAAGAGACCCGCTTGAGATCGCTAGGCATCCTGTGCACATCTCATGAATTATGCATGCATTCATTCATTCATTCACTTATTCATATCGAGCACCTAACACGCTCTAAGCGCTGGAGGTAAGTAAACAAGACATGATAGCACTTATCACATGGCATGTGTCCGCATCGCTGGCGACTTTCTGTCACTCCCACAGCAGCTTCCAGGAAGGGGCCCTAGTTCATTTTTGCATCCTCAGGTTCTAGCACAGTGGCCGGCACAGGCTAGGTGCTTAATAAACGAAGGAACAACCTTAAAGCGTACTTTTGATAGGGGGCTACGTTCTCAAAGCTTTAGACCGATTTGTGGGGACGAGGGATGGCCGTACACACGACGAGCAGGGGAGAGGCACCTTCACTCGCGTGCAGACAGCAACCCACAGCTTTCCTACGTGGCTGCTAGAACTCAAGGCAGTCAGCGCGGGAGTCCAGGGCGGGACGGGGAAGGTGGCGCTCTCGATCCTCCTCCGCCCCGACCCCTGACTCCCGGCGCAGAAGGGCTGGGATGGGGGGCCCGCGAAGGGGCTTCTCGCGGGCCCGCCCGCGCTCCTCACCAGGTCGATGGCCACGACGTCCCGCAGCGCCACGACCCGCCGGATGGACTTGGGCGGGTTCTCGGTCAGGTAGATGAGCCGGTCGCTGAGCACCACGTACTTGAGTGCGTGCTTCTCCGAGTCGGACACCACGACGCACGGCTCGTAGGCGCGGACGGCGTCGTAGACGGCGGGCGGCAGGTGGCGGCGCAGGAAGGCGTCCAGGCGGCTGTTGGTGCGCGCGGGGAAGCCGGCGGGCGCGGGGCGGGCCATGCCGCCTGGAACCCGCGCGCCACAAAGCCCCGCCGACGCGGGGGGCCCGCCCCCAGCCCCAGGAGACAGGGGGCGGGGCGACACGCCGGGCCCGGGTCTCCCTCCGGCACGCCCCCCGGGCTGGGGCTGGGATGGGGCTCTCCCCGGCGCCCCAGCCCTTCCCCCGCCGCTGCCATTCCTTACCGACTGTCCCGAAGCCGCGGTTTTCATCCGGTTTTCTGCTACAAACTTGAACCAGATGAAGTTTACTGATTTGTTTGTAAATAGGCAGAACAAGCCTACAACCCTACTAAGACCAATCACAGATTTCGCGTTTGCTTCTGACGTCGCCTGGCGGAGCTCTCTAATTTTTCATCAGCGTAAATGGAGGTCTTCTTTCTCCAACTGGGTAAAAGCCCTCTGAGAGAAGGGATGCTCGTCATCAGCTGATTTGGGCACCCTCAAGCCTGCCTGGTGGCTGTGTGCCTGCTGCCCGGGAAGAGGCCTTGGGGACAGTCGGAGCTCCGTCTGTGTAGGATGGAGGAGTGGGCGAGGCCTGCGTCTTGAAAAACTGAAGCATGTGGGTGAAGGATGCTGACTGTGCGCTCTCGAGGCTGCAGGGTGGTAAAAGTACCGCTTAGGTTTTACAGACCAGGAATAACTTCCTATAAACGAGGTTAGGGAGATCAGGACACAACAGAAACTTGCCTCCGATAACCCTAGATGAGAACTTTCGTTTAAATTCCAGGTCCAAGAAAAGTCATTCTCTCTCCCTCCCCATTCACCCAAAGACCTGGTAATGAAAACCATGTATATATATATAGGTGATGGTTGTTATTTCTGAAACCCAGAATCAAATTACATATTATTTTATATTAACATTAATTATTAATATTCCTTATTGCAATCTATATTCTCCTTTTCCTCACATTTTACTATTGTATACTGTATGTTGTAAGTAATTTCAGATCCTTTGTGGAAACAGGGTATAAATAAGTTAAAACGCACAAGCAGATATTGTAGTCTAAATTGCTACAAAAAGGAACTGAGGAGAAATGTTAGACTCTGGCTAAACAAACCTGAGAAACTAGAACAGTAGCAACAAAGAAAGAGGAACAGTATTTCTTTTCTCGGAGAGGTTGTACTTGGCGAGTAAGGAGAGAAGTGCCACCTGCTGACACTCTCTTAAATGACCTAGCGTTTAAAGTTTTCTCCGACTCTTATCCTACATCTGACACTTCATTTGATGAAAAATGAGCCCCAGAGGCTTCGCTATTTCCTCTAAAATAAAGACTGTTCCCTATCTAAACCACTCTAAACAGAGTGTGTTGCCTCAAACCATCAGAACACAAAGGCCCCTCACCTGTGCCAAACAGCAACAGCTCACAAGAGCCACTGAGAGGCAACCGGCTAAGTCAGAGCTGGACGGGGAGGCCCACGTAGGGGAAAAGGCCTCACTCCAGGCTGCTCTTCGGCGACCCTCAGGCTTCCTGCTCCATACCCACTTCTCAGGACAAAGAAAGACAGGATGACTGGAACTGGACCAGAAATGGCGGCACACCTGGTCTATCTGCCCAGAAGCCTTTCGTAAATAAGCTTTTGGTGACAAGGGCACTAGGCTGACCAAACGTTAGGATGAAGCACATGAAGAAGGGAATTTGACAAAGGGATCGGTGGTTAAGGTGACCTCAGTTAAACCTAACTCTGTGGCACACACAGAGAAGGCAATCATCATGGTTTCCAGGCACTCAGCTGTTCTACACTGTTGCCAAGGTAACGAGATTCAGACTGCAGGCAAGGGATTGATGTGGGAGAAAGGCCACTGGATTTGGAGTCAGGAGAAGCAGGTTAGAGTGCTAACAGTAATGCTCACATTCTGAGATTTTTGGAAAGTCACAACATTTTCAAGCCTCAGTTTCCTCATCTGTAAAATGAAACTACTACTGTTTGCCCTGCCAACCAAAGAGTTGGTGTGAGGATCAAAGGCAATGAATTATGAATTCCAAAAGCACCAGATACATAAAGTATTCATATTCCCTTATCTTTTGCTAAGATATGTGGATATCTAACATAAATACACTGAGATAGGCACTTACTCCTTATCTTCTATGTCCATCCAAACTCAAGAAGCATTTGGTACATAAACTATGCCATCAAGCACGTAATAGATGTTTCTTGATAAAACTATCCAAAGGAATGGAACATTACTTACCCGGAACTAATCCCCAAAGTCACTCTCCTTGACCAGAAGAATTTTCACCAGAAGAACAAAGTAGCCTCAGGTCCAGAGACAGCCATTTCAATTGCAGTCATGTGTCCCTTAGCAACAGGAGGCTACGGTCCGTGAAATGTGTGGTTAGGGATTTTGTCGTTGGGCAAGCATCATAGCGTGTACTTACACAAACCTAGGTGGAATAGCCTACGACACACCTACGCTGTATGGCACCAATCTTATGAGACCACTGTCGTATCCATCACTCGTCCGTCATTGACCGAAATGTCATTATGTGGTGCATGACTATAGTCTGAAAGGACAGTAGTTATAAGCTTAAGGCTGTAGAGCCAGATGACCTGGGTTCAAATTCCAGCTCTCCCAGTCAGTAGCTGAATGACCTCGTGCAAGTTACTTTCTCTCTCAGTGCGTCAGTTTCCCCATCTGTGAAATGGGGTAATAGTACCAACCACATAGGGTTATTAGGATTTACAATGTTTCTGAAGTACTGAGAACAGGTACTGGGAACAGAGTAAACACCATATAAGTGTTTTAAAAGTAAATTGAACAAGTTTGTGATTCCTGGTACATATATGGTCATCCAGTTCGCCGTATACAAAGTAATGTCAAATTCTTCTTCGTTGGATGCTAGTCTAACATTTTTAACTTTAGATTAAGGCTCAAGACAAAAATCTAATCTACATACACACACACAAGAGAATAGCATTTTTCCTTTTTTTCGTTGTGTTTTTTGGTGAAGTAATCAGTGGGCCATAGGTCATAAGAACCTTGTGAGGATTTCAAACTAGAAGTACCCTTCAATCAGTCTAGGGGTTCTAAATGTTCCCATCTCCCAAATTGAAACTGAAGACAGACAGTATGCATAGAAAGAAACTTGAAATCTGTGACAGGAAAACACAACCTGAATTTTTAAAGATGTCTGATTTAGGAATCTTTTAGTATAAGTGGATACCAATCACATAAATATCTACAACAGTTAGCAATCGGCTGACACATGGAGGAGAGAGATCATTGTAATAGAGTCTAAGGGACCATGAAAATACTTTGGATTAAAAAAAAAATTGTTTTCTTTTACTGAATAATGCTCCAATGCTCCATTCTGCCTCCGGCTTCCTGCTTCACACCCACTTCCTCTACGAGAAACCAATGGTTGGACGAGGACCAGTAAAGACAGCGGACCTGACCTATTTTCCAGCTTCTTTCTCTGCCAAGAAGCCCATCATGAAAGAGTTTTTGGTGACAATGGCAGTAGGCTTAATGAGCATTGAGATGAAGCATACGAAGAGAATTTGACAGACTCAGTGGTCATCAGCTCATAACTATACTTTTTTGATTCAATTAAATACATTTCACAAACATTTACTGAGAAATTATTATCCATAAACAGAATCAGGATAAGACTTATTTTCAGTCTTCAAGAATTGACTGTCTAATACGACAGTCACACACAAATTAAGACAACTGCACAGAAATTAAATTCGAAAATTTAATACAAAATGAAACATATTAAAATATATTAATGACATAAGAGAGGTTAAAAAAAAAAGCAACATCAAAGAAATGATCAAACAAGCTTGGTTTAGGAAATCTGGGAAGGCTTCAGGAGGGAGACAGTATTCAATACCTGGTCAAAGAGTGAATGAAACTGGGGCTGGCCCAGTGGTACAATGGTTAAGTTCACACACTCTGCTTGAGCGGCCTGGGGTTTGCCAGTTTGGATCCCAGGCACCAACCTAGGCACCGCTTATCAAGCCATGCTGTGGCAGGCGTCCCACATATAAAATGGAGGAAGATGGGCACAGATGTTAGCTCAGGGCCACTCTTCCTCAAAAAAAAAAAAAAAAAAGACAATGAAAGTATTTCTTTTTCCTTTTATTATAGTCAGTTTCTTTAAAGCTATTTTTTTTCTGATTTCAAAAGTGCTACATGGTCACTGTGGAGAATTTTTATTTTAAATCCAAAAAGGTACAAGGAAGAAAACAAAAATTACCTGCAATCTCTCCACTAGCAGATAACTTTCAAGTAATGGATAAATTTCCTTCAATGAAGCTGCTTCGTTCAGTCCAGGAGAGCAGCTTTGAGGGTCTAGTCTAAGGTGGAGGAAGTAGGGGAAGGAACAGACAGGACAGAGGTGACAGCACTATGCTGACACTGAACTGGGATGCCGACCATGAAGGAGATAAAGGTGACCCAAGAGCACCGAGTTATGTCAAGGGGTCCCATGCAGCGGCAGAAGCAGCCACATAGGAGGGAGATGTATTTTGGGGGGGGAAGATCATGTCTGGTTTTGGATATGTTAGAGCGGAAGTGCTGGTGAGGCGTGTAGCGTCTGGGAACACAAGCTGGGAGTACAGAATATTAGAACCAGAGATAGAGAATGGGGGGTCATCTTCATAAAATTGAGTGTTGAAGCTGTAGAAGTCGATCGTTACTGAGAGAGCAGGTGCAGAAAACCAGGTGGCTCAGAAGGCGGCCTTGGGGAAGACATGTTGAGAGAACCAAAGGAGGAGTGGAGGGAAGAAGACCAAGAGGAAACGTCAGAGAGTAAAAGGAGCTTGAGGATAACCTAGGGTCAGAAGTCAAGAGAAGAGAGAACTTCAAGGAGGAAGGAAATGGTCAATAGAGAAGCTGAAATAAATAAATTACTAAAAATGGTCTCAGGGTTGGATAATTTGTAGGAGTTTTAGTAGAGTGATTTGGGAGTAGAAAACATTACAAGAAGTGAGAGAATGGAAGAGTAAGTGTAGGCAACAAATACTGTGTACTGAAGATGAAAAATCGAGAATCAAGAGGGTAGGGTTCCAGCCTGCCATTTACTAGCTATGTGACTGGGATACGTGACTCAACGTAGATCCACCCTCGTGTCCTTATCCGTAAATTAAAAAGGATGATGATACCTGCTCCATCCCTACAAGGTTAAGAGGAACAAATCAGAGAAGACAGATGAAGGCATATTGTAAACCATAATGAAATATATAAATATTACCTATCTCAATTCTTTCAAGTACTCTGGCAATTGAAAGACAAGGGAGATATGTAGCAGGAACAATTTCTACTGTAAGAAAGCAGCCTCAGCATATACACAGGAAGAAGAGCTGACTCAGTACCAGAGTTCTAAATGTCATCATCCTGAATGGACCATGATTTGAGAAACAGGGATTAGGAGCAGAGACTAGAGTCTGTGGGTTGGACTATGCCTCAGACTAGGTGGGTTTGAATCCCAGCTCTGCTCCCTACTTCTATGCACTTCAGTTTCCTCATCTATAAAGTGGGGATAATGACAGTACCTACCTCACAAGTTGTTGTGAGGATTAATTTATGAACACTTAGAACTGTTTCCGTCACATAGTAAATGCTCAAAAATGTTAGCAATTAATATGTAAATAAATGTATTGCCATATGCAAGCATACATGCTTTAAGTTAAAATAATGACAGTGTTGGGGCCAGCCCAGTGGCATAGAGGTTAAGCTTGCATGATCCACATTGGTGGCCCAGGTGAATCCTGGGCACAGACCTGGCACCACTCATCAAGCCATGCTGTGGCCGCGTCCCACATACAAAATAGAGGAAGTTTGGCACAGATGTTAGCTCAGCAATAATCTTCCTCAAGCAAAAAGAGGAGGAAAACAGATTTTAACTCAGGGCCAATCTTCCTCACCAAAAAATAAAATAAAACAATAACGGTGTTGTCAACATTTTGATAACTGGCATTTTATATTGGTATGAGACGAGAAACTGCCCATCCCTTCATGGATGGGGTAGCCAGAACATGGAATGGTCAAATTTAACATCCTTTCAGCTCCTCTTCAGTTGGATTCCACCAACTGCTTCCTTATTTGTCCCAAAATGAATTTACAAAATTGAAAGAGATTTTTACAGTTCTAGGTATCTGAACTACCATGAAGGGCCAATGTTACTAGATAAACTATAGATAAGCTGTAGAAAGTAGGTAAGCACTGTAAATGTGTCATATGACATTTAACATGTGAAGTATCCACAAAATGAATTTACAATTGAAAGAGGTAAATAAAGATACTACAATAGACTGTATTTGGATGTTTTTTAGGATAATGCAGTGGAATATAACAAATATATTACCGCCTTTGGAGCCACTCAGACCAGGATTAGTATTGGGCCTCCACAGTAACCCACACAGGACACAGCTAATCTAAGAATCCAGACAATTATTCACTTATTGACTTCTAAGTGCAGGCTGCCCCCTGTGCTAGACTGTGGGGCTACACTGAGATACACGGGACAGGAAGCCTAGCCTGACAGCTTAAACAAGAAAATTACAAATGTGATGTAAACGTGATTCAAGATATCTTATACTGCATATGAAATGCCCTGCACATGGCGGGTCACTCAATAAATGTAACTCTCGAATGGTTACATTAATTTTACTCTACTTCTCTTCCCATTTCCCCCTCCCAGGTTTCGTTTGCTCTTCACTGTAGTCTCAGTGACTGCAACCCAGCCTGTATTCAGCACACACCGAAGGACCAACAATGAAACCTAAATATTAAGCACTTGCTGTGTGCCGAACACATGTATTAACTCAATCCTCCCAACCCTCTGAGGTCAGTACTATTAATACTCTCATTTTACAGATGAGCGCAGATAGATCATGCAACGTGCCTGAAACCGAGGTCAACAGCCAGCGAGCAGGGGCCTTGGCATTCAAAACCACGCACCTCCGGCCAATCCTGCCTCTATGAAGCATTAATAAATCGGTGGATGAACAAACGAAGTAACACTACCCCAGAAGGAACCTACAAGCAGGACTCCCTAAGAATGCTCCTTTTTTCATGAATGACAAAATATTAGCACGTTTAAAGTGAAATTTAAAAGTTTTCAGCGCTCCCCGGGGATCCTCAAGCTCTTGGATTCGGAACACGAGGAACCACAGACGAGCAACTGAACAAGTGATCACACGTGGTCTGGACCACGTCATCCGGGTCTCGGGAGTTCGGTACTCTAATCTCCCAACTACCTGAAAAAGCCTTTGGGGAACATGCTGAGCGAACCCGAGCGGCGGCTCCAACCCCATGAGGACCGGACAAGCGCCTCAGCAGCCGGGGACTGGTTCTAACCCAACGACCACCCCCGCTGCCGCCCGATCCCGGCATGCACCACGGGCCCCGGCGACCTCCGCACACCCCCACCTCCTCCCTCAAGCGCGTGCGCGCCCGCCTGCCCGGAAGCACCGCCCTCATGTTGCATGCTGGGAGTTGTAGGCGCCCGGGCCGGGCCCGCGGGCCGCCGTCCCCACTGTGCATGAGGCCGCTGGCGCTGGCCCGCGCGGCGCCGACGCGGGGAGCGCGCTTCGCGCTGACTCAGCGGCGGTGGCGGCGGCGGCGGTAGCCGGCCCTCGCGCTCTTTCCCTTCCTGGGGCGCCGACCCCGCCCGCCTGCTTGTTAGCGTGCCGGCCCGGCGCCACGCAGGAGAAGGCGCCAGGGGACGCGGAGCGGAGGGCGGCGCGCGGCCCCGGCCAGCTCCCTCTCGGCGTTAGCGCTGCGGCCGCGGCGGAGGACGACGGCGACAAGGACAGGGCCGCTCTCCCCGCTCCCTGCGTGCGGCGCCGCTGCGCTCGGCTGCCCGGCCGTCGGGAGTGCAGGCGGGGAGGCGGGATGGAGTGATAGGGAAGGTGACGCGGGGTCGGGGGCGGCGGGGCTCGGCCGCGGGGCAGTCCGCGCGAGGCTGCGGGGAGCTGGCCGGACGCCGGGAGGGGTGCGGGCCGGGGCCTCCGTGCGGTGCGCCCGAGGCTGGGGGGACCGGACCGGGGCGGGGGGGGAGGGGGGAGCCGGGCCGCGCCTCCGCCGCCGCGCGCGCCCCGAGTGCGTGGCCGCCGGTTGCCGGGTATTTCATCACCCGGGTTGCCACGAGGCTTCTTGTAGGGGAGGGATCCGGGGGAGGAAGGGGCCAAGGCCGCAGGGGAGGGTCGGCGTCGCCGCCGGCCCCCAGTGTAATACGAGTGGCCAAGCCCGTTGGTAGTAGTTGTAGCGTGTGCCACCAGTTTCAACGCAGAGACCGCAAACTTGATTCACCCCCCCCCCCCCGCCCCGGGACCAGAAAAAAGAAAAGTATTATTTCTGTGTAGTAATTTGCCAGCACAGCCACGCCATTTCATCTCTGCCTTTCCTCACAATTCTGCGGGAGTGGAGAAGCGTGATGTTTCCCTATAACCAGAAAAAAAAAAAAAAAGAGTACATCTTGAAAGTGTTGATGAGTTGTTACTGGAGAAAGTTACATTATATTAAAGCGACTTGTCAGCGTGGTGTTCAAAGGTTGGGGAGATTCAATCCTGATCTTTGAACAGTCTTCAGTAGGGGTGGGGGAATTTTCCCAAATTGTTTGTTTCTTGATTTAATGGCTCACCAGGAAAAGTTAGGGCTTAATATTTTAAGTATGTTGCTCACCTACCTTCCCCCAGAACAGTTGCTGGATGCGCAATTGAGGTGTTTGTCAAATTGTAACAAATGCTCTGCCTGCGTGGCTGTGCCGTATTAGAACATTATGTTTTTGTGCCAGACCTTTTCCTGGGAAGAGTCTCACCTTTTCGCACAGGTTGTAACTTTTCAGTTGTTTGCGCGCACGTAGGTAACTTACCTTGTTCCATTGCGTGTTGATTATTATCCAGGCGCCTTCTCTGTGGGAGATTCTTTCTGTACTGACAACTCTTCGTTTCCTTAGGTTGTTTTAGTTGCCATATTTTTTCTTAGGACTACTTGCTGTTTCCCTTAATATAATCAAAGTGGCTTGACCAAGCTTAAGAAGTTTTCCGTAACGCCATGCCAAATTCAAGGAATCTTTTATAAGACTGCTCAATCTGGGATTCATAGAAACTCAGATTGCCTTTTCTCTGAGTGCGTTTTTCAGAGAAATCGTCATCATTTTCTTGTCATTTTTGGCTGAGGGTGGTGGAAGAAAACTACTGCCTTTTTTTGTTTCCCCATCTGTTCAAAATGCCAATTTCCTAGCATGATATGATAATCTAGAATGCTCCAAGTAGTTCCCATTCTGCATGTGCCTAGCTCTGAATTAGAAATAACCTGTTGACGGCCCACTGTGTGCCCGGCATACTTTATCTCATTGAAGTCTTTGCAACTTAGGATACACATGCTCTTTTTTCCCATCTCACAGAGAGGGCTCTCTTTCCCAGGTTTCGTAGTTGTCCATCTGGCCCCAGTTTGAAAAGATTGGAATACAAATTCAGGTCTTTCCAAATCCAAGCCCTATGTTCTACTATGTCTTAGGGACATAGTGACGAATATTCAAGCCAGTCCTCGCCCTTGAAGGTTGATGAGAGAAAACTAGTAAGCAGCAGTGACAGCGTATCAGCACTGACATGGGGCATCTAATCCCCTTTGGGAGAGTGGGACAATAGGGGGTCAAAGAAGTGTTCTTGAAAGAGATGACCTCTGAGCTGAATTCTGAAGGACAAACAGGGGTTAACCCTGTAACCAGGAAAAAGCAGGGTGTGCAGAGATGAAAGACAGAATGCCACTGGCTTTGCTGGGTTGGGGTGCAGCATAGTGAGGAGTCATTCAGAAGTGTTTGGGTTTTAATCCTGGGGGCAGCGGGGAGCTACACTGCCTTGCTGTGGTCTGCAAGTGTGATAGGAACGGAAGAGAAGGGACCAAGCCTTGTTCCCCAAGGCTTGCAGCACATAACCTGCCTGATCATTTGATTCCTGCAGGCCTAAAGGAAGAAGAAAAGCACATTGTAGCAGGGGTCCTCAGACCTGGGTCAGATGCTGCCCTCACCATTCCAAAGCCCCCCATTAGTCTCTTGGCCTCTTTAGGCTCTGATCTTCTCTTTGGTTCTGATAATTAAACCAAAAAAAGCCCCACAACCTTTTAATGGGAGTAGTAAGGCCTGGTCTCCGACCTCATAGGTCTTGAGAGGATAACTGATTTATACATCATTTAGAATTTGTTTGTTCTTCACATAAATATACATTCTATCAAAAACCAAATTGCCTTTTGGGGCTTATCATGTTCTCATTGGAGAATGTTAAACCTTATATTCTGAAAAAGTACATTACTTCCAGAGACTAAAAAGGTATTCCAGGGGCTGGCCCCATGGCCTAGTGGTTAAGTTCGGTGCCCTCTGCTTTGGTGGCCTGGGTTCAGTTCCTGGGCATGGACCTACACCACTTGTCGGTGGCCATGCTGTGGTGGCAACCCACATACAAAACAGAGGAAGATTGACACAGATATTAGCTCAAGGCCAGTCTTCCTCAGGGAAAACAAAAAAAAGGTATTCTAGATAAGAATAGTCAGTATTAAGTTGTCAATCTTTATAGCTACTGTTAAAAAACGTTTTTTGAGATACCTTTGTAGACTGGCTGGCAAGAGCAGAGATCTGTAAAAGGCGGAGGTTGCCCATTGTTCAAAAGCTAAATGACTGATTTTTCACTCTCCCACTCCTTCCTCTTTCATAGGAAACACCCCAGTAAGGATATTGAACTCTGAGGTTACCACTTAGCCATTCTAACTTTTCACAAAAAGGTTTGCGATATTGATAAATGGAAGTAG